ATTTTTGATTAATCAGAGTGAGGGAGGAAATTATTTCGGTGCAGAATTAATTAATTGGAGAGGGATTAATTAAATTAATTGATTTATTTATTAATAAAACAATGCAGGTGCACAATTAATTAATCGGCCGATAAATTTATTAATTAATCGTTGCTCCAATTAATTAATTGATAAATCAATTAAAATAAAGGAATTTTAAAGCGAATAAATGGCACTTTCCGAATTAATTAATCCATGAATTATTTAATTAATCGGGGCTCGGAATTAATTAATCCACCTTTAATTAACGGCGGCGCCGATTCTCACGCCGGCCCCGCCCCCTCCCGGTGACGTCACCGCTGCCGATTTTGGGCGCGAAAATTCGGAATTTGGGGAAATTCGCGCGCGACCGCCAGGGGGCGCAATGAGGGGGGGAAAAAAAGGGGATTTTTGGGGAAAAAAGGAGGACTTTGGAGCACTAAAAACAAGAAATTCCGAAAGGAACAAAATTCAGATTAAGGGGTAAAAGAGAATTGTTAAAAGCAGTCAAGTTTTGGGGGAAAACATGGGATTTTTGGGGAGTAAAAAAAAAAATTTAAGAAAAATGGGGTTTCATGAAAGGGAAAAATGGGATTTTTTGGGGAAAAAACGGGGATTTTGGGGCACTAAAAACAATAATTTCCGAAAAGAAAAGGGTTCGAGTTCAGGGGGAAAAGGGAATTGTTAAAAGCAGAGACATTTTGGGGGAAAAAAAGGGATTTTTGGGGAGTAAAAAAAAGAAATTGAAGAAAAATGAGGGTTTTTTTAATGGGGAAAAATTGGGTTTTTTGGGGAAAAAAAAGGAAATTTTGGGAGCGAACATGGCCGGAGTGACACTGACCACTGACCCCCCAGATTTTCCCGCCAAATCCCCAGATTTTCCCCCAATTCTGACTCACCCCGGGGTTGATTTTTCAGGGGTTGAAAAGGAGGAAATTTTGGGGTGAAAAGCGGCGATTTTGGGGTTTTGGACTCACCGCTGGACACCGTGACGATGGCTCCTCTGCCCCAGAAGTCAATATAAGTTCACAGCCGGCTTTGGTCATTTTGGGGAGAAAATCCTGGCTTTGGCCATTTTGGGTGTTTATCACCCCTGGCCCTCGGTTGCGGACAATGGTCGGGATTTGGGGACAATGGCCATGGTTTGGGGACAATGGCCGGGTCCCATCCCCCACCCCCATCTCCCCTTTCCCCGCAGGGCTCCGGGTGGCCGTGACCCTGTTGGGGTCCGGCGGTGACCTCCGGCCACGGGGGGGTCACTGACCCTCGTCTGC